TGGATTTGTCTGTGCATATTTTTTTTACTCTCATAGATTTTGTTACCATTGCCATGCATTATACGACTGATTGACTGCAACGGCTGGAGTTAAAAATCATAATTTGTGTTCTACTGAAGAAACAAAGTCACCTACATCTTGGATGTCCTGCACTCTTAAAAATAAAGGTGCTTCAAAAGGTTCTTCAAGCAATGCCATAGAAGAACCATTTTTGGTTCTATAAAGAACCATTCAGTCAAAGGTTCTTTAAAGAACCATCTCTTTCTTGCGTTTTTGTAATCTGAAGAACCTTATTTCGCCACAAAGAACCTTTTGTCAAACAGAAAGGTTCTTCAGATGTTAAAAGTTCTTTATGGAACCATTTAGACAAAAAGGTTCTTATATGGCATCGTGAAGCACCTTTATTTTTAAGAGTGTGGGGGTAAGCAGATAAACATCAAATTTTCATTTTTGGGTGAACTATCACCAATGGAGCTACGATCAATTTAGGCTTACAATGCTTTTGGGAATCGCAGCCCAGTTCAAAAAGAACACATCTCCATAAGACAGCATTTTCAACATTGAAAATATATAGGCTACACTACCATTCAAAGTTTGGGGTCATTAGAATTTTTCTTAAGAAATTAATACTTTTATTCAGCAAGGATGTATGAAATTGATTTGAAAATGACAGTGAAGACATTCATAATGTTACAAATAAAAAAATTTGAACTTTCAAACAATGTAACCAAAAATGTATCACAGTTGCCACAAAAATACTAATCAGCACAACTGTTTTCAACATTGATAATAATAATAATAAATGTTTCTTGAGCAGCAAATAAGTGTGTTACAATGATTTCTAAAGGATCATGTGACTCTGAAGACTGCAGTGATGGATTTGTCTGCTAACAACATTTGCACAAACTGATTCATTATGACAACACTTACCCACCAGACTATCATCATGGTAAATGTAATTAAAACGATCATGTGAGGAGTGCAATTGAAGCCACCATGAAACAAATGAAACCCCAATCACAAAAGTTTGCTATTTATAAGATATTTGATGGCAATATTAGTCAAATTTATAGGTACTTTTGCTGCAAACAGCTTTGTTTTCTTACAGACAGTTCACTTAAGTCTTACATACATATCGAGTATATGCAACAGTAATCATTAAATAATTAATTAAAACAAATAAACTGTGCCAATCATTGATGCAATAGCCTTGCAATATACCGTAAAGGAACAAAGTCAAAAGATGCGGTATGGAGGTGAAGTAATTGCTCTACAGAATGCACTGTTGACCAGACAGACTTCATTAGCTAATGGATCTGCCTTGCATTAATCAATTCACAATTCCAGACAGTCCTCTGAGAGACCAGACTGTCTCTATTCTCCTTTCTGCTTCTCTCTCTCTCTATTACACACACACACACACACACACTCTTTTGTCCTATGCCATTTCTGTCTATTCCCCATGGACAAAACCTTAATATCTTCTCACCCTCATATTGTCTCACAACGTCTGTCTACTGTACATGTGTGAAATTAAATTCATGGAATAACTGAATTAATTAATCTAAGAGGGAAATGCATTTGCCAGAGAGACAGAGCTGAATTAAGACCTCAGAGATGCAAAACAATCCTCTGCTTTGGAGTAACACAAGGAAATTTGCACATCCAGTGTGTATTTACAGTACACATCATTTTCAGTATTTGTATAGTGTATGCGTGCATGTACTGTCCCTGAGCCTCTGAATGTCCTTGTTTGGCAGATGGGGTGTCATGGCTGAGTTCTGCAGGAGGTCTGGACTGAGAACCCCTGCGTCTGTGGCACGACATAATGTGCCATCTGAGAAAAAGGCCCACACCATGGCATCTCATCAAAAATTCATCATTTTCATACACTCAGTGGGCTTCTATTATCTCCAGGGAACATCTCCCATGATCATAACATTGAATATAAAAGACTGAATGAGAAGACTATATTTATGAGTTCCATTTGACTAAAATGAATGGGGAGAAATATATAAAATCAGACAATATAAAAGTAAGAATTAACAGCAGGCTGGTGGAACCTAAAAAAATTAAAATCATTAATATAATATAATATAATGTAATGTAATGTAATATAATATAATATTAATAGCAGGCTGATGGAATCTGTCACATTAACTTAGAAAAAATAAAATTAATCAGGAAATAATTAAGAAAAAGCCAGATAAAAGCATTAGCAGACTTGTTTAGTAAACTATTGCAAGCGGGTCACAATTCTTTTTTTTATTCTATAAATCTGAAAATGATTATTTAACTTTGTTTCTTTCCTCTATGGACACATAAAGCTTAAGCCTTAAAGTCTGTTAATTCCTTTCCCCCTGACTGTAAGTTATAACGAGTTTAATGATATTATATTAAGCCTTCCATTCTTCCTCCACATCACGTTACACAGCTGCTGACAACCATTAAACGCATTCTAAAATTAGAGTGAGAGATTATTACTGAAATATATCCAAGAACCTTCAGTAGCTTGATTCCCACAGTAACCTTAGCTATTCTTTTTCATATTATCACTGAATATAATCCAAGAGCAAATGTGTTGTATTGTCACCTACTATGACTCATATATAGGCTTGGATTAACCTATTATCACTTGAGCCATTCATACAAACTTGCTAATATGCTTTAACTAATGTAGTAGTCAAGATTTTTGGTGGGATCATGTGATGAAAGAGGGTCTCAAAGGAGATCTATCTGCATTCTTACAGGTTACAGGGTCACCTTACAGAGCAGTAAGCTAGGGGAAGAAATACTCAGTGCAACAATGAGGGAGGAGAATGTCATGACCTCGAGTTGGTCTGGTATGTTTGTGCAGCATATGCAACTCATTGGGCAAGCACAGCTGACTAAAAAGAGAAAAAAATAAAGGCAAACATTTAAGTAAGAGGAAACATGGTTAAATTGAATGCTTAGCTGAGAAAAGTAGAGAAAGCTTCACTGATTCATGTGGTCACAGATTATCCTTCTAGTTTTATATGGGCCCCAATTGTACATTGAGGTATTCACAGATTAGATTTTACAAATGTATTTCATGGTGCAAAAATATACTAGACTCTTAGGGTCTAACTGACTAACTTTTTTTTTTGAAGCAATTAGATTAGAAAAGGGATTGTCCTAAGAAAGCAAATGGCACTGAAGTCCTGATACAAACTTAACTATCAATACGTTCATAGAAGCATAAAAGCAGCTTTGTCAGGCTTGTTGAATGAAGCTTGAAATAAATAGTTTCACGGAATGATTTATAATTGAGAGCTTGAGAGAAAACACAGTCTCTCCAAAATGAAAAAAAAAAAACTTCCTTGGAAAAACTTTCTGTGTACACGCCATTGAATTTAGTTCAGTCAAGCAAACCGGAGCAGGAAAGGTCAGAGTTCAGGGAGGGGAAGTCTTTGTTTCTTAGGTATTGTCCATGTCAACATATTCTGCCAGCATGTGAAAAACTATACAGACAAAAACCACTGCAACTGAAATCGGAGCTTCACTTACATGCACTCCGCTGCAATACGATTTATTTGATAAAATACTTAATATCTCATTTCCACAGTCCACATGTTGTGTTTTAACTTGCCTTTAGCTCATGATTTGTAATTTACCTCATAGTTGAACTTTGCTAATATGAAATCCTGAAATGGAATTACTTTACAAATTATAAACAGTCCTTTACATTCCAGGAACACTTCCCAAACTAAGCCTGTGCAAAAAATCAGTCCGTTTATGATCCCGATAGTTGTTCCAGCTGGCTGAAAACTCAAGGCAGCCCTGTTACAAACAAGCAGAGACAGAGTCAGAATACCAGAGCAGATATGAGGACAAGCTGCCATTTAATGGAATGCATGGACCAGTTGGAGTTCATCAAGGGGAAAAAAGACAGGTGAAAAATTATCAAAATTAATTTGTTAAAAAAAACAACACACAAATAAGTCAAACATACCTATGCTGCATCATTCACTGGGAGGAAATATTGCCTTCTCTTTATATTTACTTAAAGTGAATATAATACATTTGGACAGAAATATTGCATGCAAATTCTTATCTCTCCACTATGGCATGACTTATGGTTAGCCAATCCATCAAAATCTCTTTAAAAAATGCTGGTCTGATTTTACTGCAAATTATAGGAGAAAACAACATGGTCATTGAAACTTTGTCTCTGCTTGTTCATAACTGGACCTGCGATCATGAGGCGAGTTTCTGTTTGATCATTAATTTAGAGCGAAAAACATTATATAATTTCAAGTACTTTTCATGTGAGCAGCAATTAACAGGCTCAAGAAGCATTTTACATTTTTGTGGTGCTACATTCAGTCATATCCATGCAAAAATGTTTCTTAATCAGATTAATATCTAATCTGAATTACCTGTTTTCTGGGAGAAAGCATGAAAGGAAAGCTTTGGTTTTTCTTAATGTAGAGAAAAAAATTGATGTAATCGTCTGTTAGAGTAAATTGTTAGATGTGAAGAACATTGGGTTTCAGTTTAGTGATATAACACTGAAAATCAAGTCTGTTCTGGCTTGTTTGGTGCTCTCACAGGACCCTGCTGTGTCTTAAGTGTGTAAAAATGTCCCGAGTAAAACTTTTACTGGAAACCCTGCATCACCTGAAGGCATCCTGTCCTGATGTTTACAATTAAGCACAGGTCTAGTTCTTGTTAAAAGTAAATGAGTTAATCCATAAGTGTGTACTAGGTCTCAGCAAATTTCAGAATTTGAAGACTTGCTTTCTATTCAGTTGGAATTCAAATTATAGGTGAACCAGCCTTAGAAGCAACTGTGATTTGATCTAGATTTTACCACTTACCTGCATTTCCAGTCTAATTAGCCCTGAATTAGTGTATTAATAAAAATGGGTTTCCATAAAATGGCTCATATCTGAAGTACAATAATAACTGAAACTGTTTTATGTGAAGAGCCATGAAAAGGAGACACAACTCATGATACTTTTACGACAGTGTCGGCGGCGGTAACCATAACAACAGGTAGAGAACGTTTTCCGACAGAAAATGGCGACGTACACATGAGGACGTGAAGTAAGAAGTACTCGGCAATGACATTTAAGTCATTACTTATGTTATATTATTAGGCTGCGTTTCGCTCCTATTCTGAATTTAATGTTTGTGCCGTCTCGGTAGGAGACATTATAGAAAGGCGATGAGTGGATCTGTGATTCAAGAGAAGGTTGCTAAACTCTTAAGCAGACAGAATGGAAAACCCGTACTGAGACCCATCAAGCCTCTGGCGCTGAAGAATGAAGTCGCCAGCCGCAAGCTGAAGAAAGGAGGTTAGGAATTTTTCGTTTTAAAATGTATGTGTACAAAAACTGTTCGGTGTCAGTTAGATTCTTGGCCTCTTCTACTGGCCTGCTTTAGATCGAAACTGTTACAGAATTTACCTTAAGTTTTTTTTTCCTCACTGTTATACTGTTCACTGTTTATTCGATGTGTTGAATGTATGTAATATTTTATGCACATTTGTGAAATATTACGTATAACATTTGTAAATACAGCGTAGAGGTTTTAAAATGTATGTGTACAAAAACTGTTCGGTGTCAGTTAGATTCTTGGCCTCTTCTACTGGCCTGCTTTAGATCGAAACTGTTACAGAATTTACCTTAAGTTTTTTTTCCTCACTGTTATACTGTTCACTGTTTATTCGATGTGTTGAATGTATGTAATATTTTATGCACATTTGTGAAATATTACGTATAACTTTTGTAAATACAGCGTAGAGGTGTCCTGTTTAGCCTTTAAAAGCCTGACGTTTAAAATATTAATACTTATTTAAATGGAACAGTTTATTGAACATTTATACAGAATATAAAAGAAAATCTAAACAATTGTCTGTTTCATATTTGATACATCAGGCTTTTGTGGCCCAAGTAGTATGATATAGTAAGTGAGGCTGTAGCACACATTCGAGAAGTGAAAAAATGCCTCGGTTTTATTCAAAGCTCCAAGCTGAGCAAGTACATATAATCTGGTGTAGTTATTATTTATCTGGCCAAAAAGAAAGACAAAATGTGAAAGCTTATAAAGAAAATCACTGAGGTTGATTATGATCAAAGCTCAGTAGTTTTAATTGTGGGGGGAAAAATATATAATACAATGCAATACATTGATGCTGGAGCGATGTACAAATACATCTTCAGTCCAGTAAATGTTCATCTTGAAATATTAATAACAAGATAAAAGTAACATTACATGTAGTTTAAATAAGCTGTTAAAGATTTCACAGCAAAATTGTATACCAGTACCTGAAATCAGACTTTTTTTAGAATTAGTAAAAGGACGTTTACTTGCTAACATCAGGCATGTAGTAGATTGTGTAGAAGGTTTTTCATCAGTTTTGATCTTGTTTAGATAATTTAGAGGCCTTAGAAATTCATATACTTGTATCTAATATGATACGAAAGGCTTTATATGGTTGGTTAAACATTGTGCTTGCTAGAAAACAATCTCAGATTTACATCTAACTACAGCACGAGTTTTGGGCAGTGTAGAGTAGCACTTGTTGTTTGTCATTTCTCCGATCACAAATGCAGACACAGTTTTATGTTTGCGCGATGAAATGCAACGCGTAAAAACACAGTATAAATCATTACAATCAGTAATTATGTCCCCACTGGATGCAACAAATGCCTCATTTGTAATGGGTTTTAATGTTTTTGTCTCGTCGATCCGGCCGGGACACCGCCTCAACAGTATGTGAGAGGAGTAACATTTCTGTCTCACGCTTGAGGTATTCGGCCAATCACAACGCATTGGATAGCTGGCCAATCACAGCACACCTCGCTTTTTCAGACCGACGAGCTTTGTAAAAATCAACGCGTTTCAGAAAGGCGGGGCATAGAGGAGAAACAATAATGTACAGTATGTGGAAAAGAATGTGTTTTTTTAAACTTTAAACCACATAAACACATTTCATTACACCAAATACACCAAATAATGTTATTTTTAGCAGCATCATATGACCCCTTTAATGTCAACCAAAGTCAGTTGTAGTTCAATTTGAAAAAAATATTTTTTAAGCATGAAGATACATTTAGCACTTATACTTTCATTACAAGTACAGTGATGCCACTCAGTCTTCCTTTTAAAAGTAACTGATTGGCTAAACTAAAATTATATGCATGCACTAAAATTAGTTTTGCTTTTCTAAATGGGACTGGAAATACAAGTGATGGTGATTTGCTTTTTAAGGCAACATCGAAAGCCTTTTGTAATGCATTGTTTTAATAAACCCTTACATGGTGATACACACACTCTTTGTTACAGAGGCCACCTGTGTAACGGAAATGTCATTACTTCTGGCTTGCTGGAAACAGAATAACTTCAACAACTCGGTCTGCTCTAAAGAAGTCTCAGTCTTCTACACATGTGTTGAAAAGGTAACTTAGGAAATCCTCTGTAAAACAGCCTACTCATAGCTGACAGCAATTTAACATCCTTAATTAACATGGTTTTAATAATTACATGGGAATGTAATGAACAACCAGATTTTCTCTGCCATTTCCTGATTATGGCGAACACACTTCCCACTTTGCAATGCAGTTTCCTGCTAGAGCTTTCTTCTTTTTTTTTTACCTCCCTCATCTGTTGTTTCTGTGTTTATGGCATCTTCACGCATCTAGTGAGATCAAGAGCTTGAAAGCTAGTGCAATATAACAAAGAGTGACAAATTTAAGGGGGTCTGAATACTTTCCATACCCACTGTATATTAAAGCCTTTGAATTGAAATAAATTCAACAATATTTAACATTGTTTCCTAATTTCACTTGTTGCAGGCGCAGAACAAGGCCAAAGAAAAGCAGGGAACTCAGGGTCGGCTTTTGCCTAAAGAAGCCAACACCTTATTAAAACGATTTCCCAACCTGAGCAGTGAGATCTAGGACCAGTAACGCAGATTAGTCAAAGAATGGACACTTTTATTATCTGAGCTCTATTAGATGGGGACTTTAGTCTGAGTGTATGACTGGGCCAGGCAGTTGATGAGAACGGGATGTGGAAAGTGTTTTTTTTTTAAAAACCTGCAATGAAGCTGTCACTGGGGCTCAAACCCTGCCAAAAGGACGTCAGCGGGTGCTCACAAAGCAAATGAACTGCATTCGCAAGGTTTTGAAGGCACTTTTGGTGATTACTACATTACTGCACGCCTGTAGGTCATCTCATCAGAGCAGTACAAAAGAACAAACACTTGTTCCTTCACACACTTAAAGGGATAGTTCACCCAAAAATGAAAATCTGTCACCCTTTACTCATCTTCATGTCCTCTTTTGTGTTCAACAGACGAAAGAAGTCGTACAGGTTTGTAATGACGTGAGGGTGAGTAAATGATGATAGACTTTTCATTTTTGGGTAAAGTGTCCCATTTAGTAATTTGTGTTATTGATGTTTGACTATACCATTGTTACTTCTCAGAAAATCTGAATGTTATCATATTGGTTTTTGGTATTACTTTTTGAAGTCTCCCCTGCATAACTGAGCTGTGACCTGTAAAACTCAGCAGTTTATTTATTTTACAAATTTACTTCCTGTTTCGGGCTGTATTCACAATGTAATTAGTCTCAGCCATTTTCAATTATCAGAAAACGGAGATCAAGGGAGAAGTACTCAGTGCCGGATCACGTTACATGCCAGAACACAGTGTATTGAATTTGACCATGAGAGCTCTGCAATGAAGATCTAAATAACTCATTATTAAACATATTAACTTACAAACAATTCACTTTCTGTTCAGCTGTTATTTTTCATGTTTTGTTTGATTTGTGTGAATTGTTGTTAAACATTGTGACCATGAATAAGTTTAGTTCCCTTTGGCCATCCTGTGATGATAACAGCCCACCATTTCCTTAGGCTGATTATCTACGGTTGTCTGCAGCATAATGTGTTTAGACCCCAAAGGAAATGCTGTCTGCTGTAAGTCTAAACTTTGCTCAATCACAACACAACATTGAAGTCATGAACAGCCAAAAATAGTTTAGGATAAGACTAAAAGAGCTACAGCAATGAAGTCAGTAAGGTGCAACCATGTCAATGCCTTCCAGATTTAATTTAAAATACTTTATTGTGACTGCAGTGATGACCTTTGACATCAACCAGTTATATTTACTAGGCTTTTGATGTTATATACAGTAAGCCATTCCAGTCTCCAGTTCCTTAAGCTTGAATATACCAGATTAACAGCCCAGAACAGGGTGTGGATGAATGCCAATGCAGCCGCACCTCTGGGCATCAGATAAGAGAAAGCAAACATTTAAGGGGGTCTGAATACTTTCCGTACCCACTGTATATATAGCTCCTTGATGCCTGATAAAACATGGTTGTTTTGATCAAATCTACAAATTCTTACATTTTAAGTATGACATGCTTTGAGAATGACTTAAAGAGCAAATTCATCTTTTTGCAAGATTAAAAAATGTTATTTCTCTTAATGTGTGAAAAACAACTCGGTTTTAGACACTGATACTATATATAAATTAATTTAAGTATAGGAGAATTATGTTTATCATATGAATAACGTGTAGTTTTGCTCAGGTCAAAAGGAGGCTTTGATCTTTAATTAAATTATGAGTAAGTGATTCAGGTATTGTTAACTTCTATTGAAGATGTATGAATGGTGAACAATGTGGAATGAGGTGTATTCATGTGTCTGTGTACACAGGTGAACAATGCAAGACAAGGTGAGCTCAACCACCTGTGTATTTAGGATCTTGTTTTTTAATGTGATATTCATAAAACCCAAGACATTTAAAAGATTGTCCAAGTGGTTAATAATATCCACCTTATCAACACATGCCCTTTGTCCTTTGTTAGGGAGTTTTCAGGAGTTATGGAAAAGAACTGGAATTCCTTGTCTGTTTTATATTTGCCATGTGACCGCAAAAGGTCTGTTTTCTCGTTTTTTAAGCTTTAGGCGCATTTTTTGGGGGTGCTGCACAAGGGTCTTGAGTTATTCAAAAAACATTTCATGCAGATAATGACTTGATTTTTTTTAATGGTTATGTTTTATATTTCTGATCTAAAATAGGTCCTGTACAACACACTCTCATTTCTATTTGTAACTATTGTTAACTATTTGCAGATTGGTTGAGTTTAGGGGTATAACTTAATGTTTAGGCATACTTTATTTCCTTAAAAATGGCATGTTTCTGTACAAATTGCATCGTACAAAATTGCTTGACAGTTGTAAAGAAACTGAAGTAGTGACTGATCTTTTCTTTCTTATTGTGATGTATTCTTTCAGATTATCAGAAAAAAAACTAGGATGAGGACTTGGTTCAATTCATAATTTGTTAATTGGATTTTGGGCATTGCAAAAGTGGAGGCAGGTGAGCAGGGGTGGGGTTTAAGCAGACAAAATGATTAGAGAAGTCCTGCATATGCCATCAGAGAGACTTCTGTCGTTTTCACCATAAAGTCCAGTTATGATACTTTCATGTCAAAAAGAAATAAACATGATGAATGACAAGAATAGCTCACAAGAGTTATAACATGCATTTTGAAGGGTGAACTTCTGTGCTATTTTAAAATTTTTAAATGTATTTTATGCATGCATTCTTGTCACGATAACTATTAAGAATGATGCCAATTACAAACTTTGGGCAAAGTTGTTTGGCCTAAACTTTCAATGCTATTTTATTCACTAAATTAGCAGTTAAGCAGTTTTCTATTCTTTACTCTATTTATTTAATTAATCGTTGTCCGCCAAATAAAAGTAGGCAACATTTGTTGGCTTTTTATAAACTAGTATTAAAAAAAAGTGTAAAAACTAGTGTGATTTTTAGCCTACTAGTACGAATAACGATGATCACATTCACTATAGGCATAAGTGTATGGCTATTTTCTGAACTGCAGAAGATAGTCACTGTTGGATTTCTGAGTAAAACCAAGGGCTAGTAACATAACAACAGATGCTAGTTCATTTAAAGGAATAATTGCTAAAACGGCTTGCCATACATAAGGGGCCAACCTCTCCGCACCGTGATCCATAAATGTTTATGTCTTCTAATCATCTGTAACGTGTACTGTGGTGAAGACTGCTGGAGCGGCGTCTCTTCACAGTGAACATAAACCTCAGCCAGACTTCAACATGGGAGGGGTGGCAGTCGTGTCGTTGGACTTTTAGAAGTTTACATGATGTTTTTTTTCTGTCTCATTATTTTCGTTGTTTCTTCTTCCGTACATACATTTGTAAACATGTTGAGGCGGGAAGGCGTACACTTTTCCCTGTGTGCCCACGGACAGCGATGATGGGACAGTTGTGCTGGATGTGTAGTCAGTGACAGGATGGATATCAGCGGGATCCTCTCTATTGCTGCTGTCCTTCGTTTCTCTATCAGTGTCTACGGCGAGGTATGTAAACGCAGTTTTTTGCTTTATTGACATATGAGTTCCTAGTCAGCTAACAAACAGTCAGTCTAGCTGTGATTTATCCTGAAAAAAATGACCGAGAACTCGTTTTAGTAGACAGGAGTTCAGACGGCGGCAAAAAAAGCTGGTTTATAGGCTAAATGAGACAAAAAAAATGTTTTCCCAATTGTACTGGGCTATAAAATGGCACAATAGGCTACATTTTTCTTCTTCTAAATGAGTAGTTTGAATGGAAGTCGACACGGAAATGAATTATGATCGCGCGTGTTATGACCCTTTGACGCTTTCACTCACTGTGTGTGACATTAACGCTTTGTATCTCGTGAAAGTGTGTGGTAATTGTTACAGTTGGCATTATCTTGTACAGTCATTGTTAATTTTTGTGGCTGAGGCATACTTTGCCCCGAATACATTTCAGCTCTTTAAAGGATCTAAATAATAATGAGACAATGAGAACTGTGCACATGCATATTTACATGTCTCTTATTGAATCTCTTATTGAAAAAAAAAAACATTAAACCAGCCTAAGTTGGTTTTCTGTTTTTGGCTGGTTTAAAATGATCTGCAGCTGTTCTGTAGCTCTCCTAGCCTGATGAGCTGACTGAAAAGTGGCCAACAGATCAGGCTGGTTTAAGATGTTTCAGAAGGGATATATTAATAAAATAAACAGAACTATAATATAAAACTCCCTAACTACCTTGGAAAAATATACCTACTATGCCTTGCGTATCATGGATAGATACGTCTGAAAACCAAAGCTTAACCCAATTGTCTTCGAACCATTTCGGATTTTGGTATTGGAGTCAGGCTTTGTAATATTATCAAGAATATCTCAAATCAAAACATGCTTTTAGTTATATGTAGTGTTTTGTCTTGAGAATGTCGTTAGATCTGTTGAACAAAAAACAAGGAGCACAGGGGGGTGTAGTTTATTAGGACAATAAGACAGGTAACGTCTGCTTGATGCTTTTTTTTGTCTTTGTTGCTTAAGTCTGAGTCTCTTGTTTTGTATCTCATACTTAATCCCTGTTGATGGGAACAAGCATCACACTTAACTCTCATCCTGACTACAGTACAAGTGAACGATGGGACGAGACGCTTGCAGTGTAGTCTGAATGAGAGAAAAGCATGATGCTCGTTCCCTTCATCACACCCAGATCACACAGTAGCAGTCACGTAATAGCTTGATGGTCATGAAAGTGTTCTTTGATCTCGGTTGAAGTACTGCTAAAGCAAAGCTGCTCTGCACTATTAACTCATGTCTTTATGTGACGTTTCCTCGTCGTAAAGCAACGGATACCTTTGATAACCTTCCTCCAGGGAGAAAACCTCTGACTAAGGCTTGCAGCTGGTTACTGGGATCAAAACAAAACAAATGGTATAAACTAAAAATAAGGCATGCATCCTATTAAAATAGCCTTTTTAAAGTCATAATTCATGCCTAGTTGTCATACCTTTACAAAAAGTATCAAAGTACAGTGATCGCATCAGATTTTAATACCTTAGTACTTTCTTAAATATGTATGATACATCATTTACATTCAAGCATTTAGCAGATGCTTTTATCCACATATAATTGAAGAGCATAAGCATGTTCATTAGAATGCTAAATTGGGAAACAAGCTAGAGGAAAGTAGAGAAAGTTCA